CACGCACATTCATACGCATCGCAGGCCTCACAAAGGTGCCACATGGACCGCTGATAAGGGTCTTCCCAAAGAACTCGCAAGCCACATCAAAAGACAAATCGCCATCCTACGTCACGATCAGAAACTGGTGCCTCGCGGCCGGCAGGCAGGCTGGACTGGATGTCGCGCACATCGGAACCCACTCATTCCGCAAAGGCGCAGCCACCGCGGCGGCAAGCCTCGGAGTTCCTGACCGGCTCTTCAAACGCATGGGCCGATGGCGCAGCGACAGCGCGAAGGAGATGTACGTGACAATCGCGCAGGATCAGCTCATCTCCCTCTCCACGTTGTTGCAGGATCCTTCGACGGCTCCCTCACCCGCCACGCATCAGCTATCAATCAAACGACACCGCCAGCCCCGACTGCACTTGCCTCAGAAGACCCATATGAAATGATAACGCTGCCTTTGCAAGTCAGCCTAAGTAGACTTTCACAATATGATAATTTTTGAAAGTGTAATGAAATGTAACACTTTCTAAAAATTTGTATTGTGAAAAGGGGTACGTGGCCAACACAGCAAAGGTAGCGTCGAAGCGCTACTCACCCTCTTTTGCCTACAAAAGAGGGACGTGGGGACATTCGTCCCCACCCACGTTTTCATTTCTGAATTTGTAGTTCTAATTTCCCGCCCGCCCACCCATTTGTGCATGCTGTTATGTAGACATATATAAGACGAGAACGGTGTACTACAAGCCATATGAAATGATAACGCTGCCTTTGCAAGTCAGCCTAAGTAGACTTTCACAATATTCCGCTGTGGACACTGTCCCAATCGATGTGTCCCAATCGAGTGTACCGCTCCGAACCGAACTAAACCAGAGACGCGAAATTTTCGAAACTAGGGTGCAATTTGGTGTAATACGATGTAGTGCGGTAGAAACGATTGGGACACATCGATTGGGACAGTGTCCACAGCGAAATGTACCCTTAATAGAATTCCTGTGGTATTTCATGCCGATTGCACTCTTAATGGGTCTTGATGCAGAATACCATGGATGTTTGCAAGGAATATACCTTCACTGCACTGATTGTATGAACTGTTAAGGAGGATGGATCAAGTTGTATTGGATCATTAAAGTGGACAAAAGTGTGTTATAAGCTCACAACAAGCTCACATCAAGAAAGAAATAAAAGAAATACACCGAGAAACACATTACCGTATGTGCTCACAAACTTGAGAGTGGGGATGGAATGCCTTTGAATTTGAGCCCTAGCCCCACGCGGACCGCGACTTCAACCGACCAATTGCCGCCACCACCTCTAACCCAGCCCAGCGAGGTGCCGTGGCTTCGCGACATCTTCCTGTCAAGAGTTGCGACCGAATTACGAGTTACGGAGGTTTTCGTCACAAATGAAATGCTGTATCGCGAAACCAGTTCACCGCTTCCCGCGCCGCATGTCGGCAATGTTGACGCGCCCCCAGCCCCCTAACTCTCAGATAAATGACAATTCGTGCCTCTAATGCTTCATCAGATTCATTCGTGCTTCCTCAACTTCACCCCCCTCGCTATCATCCAATCCAACTTCATTCTCTTCTCGCCAATCCAACCCGGCGCTTCCAGTCCAGTCTCGCTTTCCGCGGCTGCGTGACCACACCACTTAGAGACAATCGTGCACATATTCGCGAAATATGGCCAGTTCACGGTTCATTCCCCTCTTCGGCCTGCTTTGCATCGTGCTATGCTTCGCCACCGCGCACGCACAGGCGAAGCCCACCAAGGCGCAAATCAAAGCCGAGCTGCAGAACATGGCGAACACCATCACCAAGAAGTTTCCCAAATACGCGAAGTACGCCAAGGACATCAACAAGTACATCGGCCTAGCACGTAAGGACTAAAGTTACATTATTTTCTTATTACCACGGCTAGTAAACTCGCTTCCTTCTCGTTCAAAACGCCAGCAGAAAGGCCCTCATTTGTAGTCGTTAATAATGCGGAAGGATACCCTCTTACTAGTGGCTAACACGCTCCTCTATTCGCTCCTCGCGCTCACATGCTGACCGTTTTTTCCCGTCTTCCCTCTCCCTCTCCCTCTGTCCCCCCACTTCCTCTCTTTCCATCACCAGTGAACTCCAAGTATGATTTCACAGCTCTCAGCGACGCGACCCTCCTACTCCCCAGCGACACGGAGGCCCAGGCCCTCGCTAAGAAGGTCCCCGCTAACAACGCCAACATCCCTAAAATCTACAACATCACCGCGTACCACATCATCCGCAAGAAGTACACCGTTCCCGCGCTCAAGGTGCTCAAGAAATCGCAGCCGCTGGGGACGCAGCTGAAGCAGGCGATGTACAAGGTTTCGGTGCAGAATGGTAACACGGTTTCCTTCGCCAAGACTCCCAACGCCCCCCCTGCCGCGTGGACGACGATCAAGCTCGTGAGGCTCTACGCTGGACCGTACTTCATTGCACATGGCGTGGATAAAGTTATGATTCCCACTTACACCAAAGTGTAATCCTTTACGTTACCTGAACGTGGCTCGGTCCTCAATTGACAATCAGTCGAGCTGCTGGTTCAACCTCTGAACTAGGGATGACTGGAGGTCAACTGGGCATCAAAGAAAGTTCTTAGTGGCTTTTGTGGTTGTATAAACGCTAATGTGCGTTGAGCAATCAATTTTGTACAAGGCTTCTGTTTTTTCGGTACCAAGCTGATGTCACTGAATCAGCTGGGTTTAGAAAGTGCATGAGCTGTTGCAGGAAATTTTGAACCCACCAGCTTCTTTCTTTCAGAGTAGGCTACTATTTGAATTTGGGACGGTAACACGCGAGTACGCTTCCTAGAATGCTTTGAGACAGCGAGGCCGAGACGAGCAATCGGTTATGGCCCTGCTGCTCGTCACCAACGCCCTCATCGTACTCCCACTCTCCTGACGACACACACGAACCCATGCGCCTGTGCTGCCGCTGTTGACTCCGAGCCTCCCCGTTTGGTTTGGTGGAAGCAGGCCGGGCCTGGGTGCATCCGAACCCAGCCGTGAGGCCCGGAACCATGGTGACAGGAGCGGTGGGCGACCGGACGTAGTGGTGTAGAGGCTTCACGTGACCCTGTGGGGGGTGTTAGATCGGGAGAGGGGCAATGGGGCATGGGCAGCAGAATATGTTTGAGGGGCGGATGGGGACGTGTTTTGAGTCGATTCAAAACACGACTCATAACAAGACTTGAGTCGACTCAAAACAAGAGGGGCAATGGGGCATGGGCAGCACAATATGTTTGAGGGGCGGATGAGGATGAGCCGTGCTGAATTGAGAGTGGCTGTTGGTGGGGTAAGAGTGGCCCTTGGCTGCTTGACCAGCACAGCTGCTTCACTGTGCTGCCCTTACATGGCCTACCACGCACACTGCACCAAAACCTCCCCTTACCTGGCGTGCTACTGCACTCATGCTGAAAGGGGTGTGCCAGCCATGCTGCCTGCAGCACCTGCACACATCATGCCTGCACCACCTGCACACGTCATGCCGGCCCATGCATCATCCAACACACCCCCCCCCCTCCCATACCAGTCAGCCTCCAACCACCAATACCCACCAGTACCAACCAGTACCCACCAGTACCCACCAGTACCAGGTAGCACCCACCATTCAGCACCCATGAACCCCTTGGAGCAGGCACCCACCCCTCAGCACCCATGTGCACCCCTCAGCAACCATGTGCACCGCACCTGCAGCTGATCGGTGTGCAGCTGGTCCAGCAGAGGGCGGGTGGTGTCCAGCAGCAGCATACGTGTGTGCTCTGATACCACTGACGCTCCCACACTCATGGCGCATGCCTGTCGGAATGGCATGGTATGCAAGGAAAACGTTTGAGGCCCCTTCAAAGAAGCATGCGCTCTGATGCTGACACATGCATTGCACATGTCTGGTGGGCATGGCATGCAAGGGAACAAGTGAGGCATGGGCACAGGAAACCGGAGAACTAGGGAGCCTGCGCATGGACTGGCAGGGAAACACGATGAGGGGTGTTGCTGCGGCTGGGGAACTACCCACAAAGCACCAGACAGCACCACATAGTGCTACGCTACCCAGGACCACAGAGCACCGCACACACAGCCCATGCGCTTCACATACCGCCTGCTGCAGCTGCGGGGTGTTGTGCAGCCAGGCCTCGGCAGTCACGATGTCCACCTGCTCACACGCCCCCACCTGATGCCATGAGCACGTAGTGACAGCGGTGCAGACAGGTGGAGAGGGGTGAGGAGATGGCTGGGTGTCGTGAGCATGGTAGGAAGGCACAGAGGTTGGTGTGGGGAAGGGATAGATGAAAGTGGATGCAAGAGTTGAGAGGTTAGAATAAATAGATGAGAACGGAATATTGAGAGGAGAGGGCAAGGGAGTACAGAGGAGACGTCGAGGGCATCAGTTTAGCAAAGAACTGAAACTAGACTATGCAAGTCTTGAATCTGGTAACCGATTTTCCAAGCTGGCCTTATAAAAGCACAATATTGTTCCTCTAACCAGATCCGCCTCTCCACCTGAACCAGATCCGCCTCTCCACCTGAACCAGATCCGCCTCTCCACCTGAACCAGATCCGCCTCTCCACCTGAACCAATAAATATGATTTGTAGTTTTAAACGTATCGACTTTCAGATTTGATAAAAGTAACGCATCTGCAGCCCAACTGCCTACCTTTGATAAAGCATACAGAGGAGAGGGCGAGGGCATACAGAGGAGAGGGGCAGGTTGCCGGCGTCGGAGAGGGCAGCTCTGAACTTCCAGGGAGCCCCACTGGCCAGCACGCCCCTCAACTCCACGTGTAGTGGCAGGCCCCCTCCACCCTCCGCCCTGCCATCCCCCTCGTCGCCCATCCGGCCGCTCACCACGACCGGACCGGATGCATAGAGGTCTGGGATGGGGTAGGGGTAGAGCTGGTGCGGATGGGCAGGGGATGGGTGTGGTGGGCGGCATTTTTTAGTCGACTCAAAGTCACTTGGTCCGCCATTCTCCCGCTCACCACGACCGCACCAGATGCATATAAGTCCGGGATGGGGTAGGGGTAGAGCTGGTGGGGGTGGAGAGGGGATGAGTGAGGTGGGCATAGTGGGGATATGTGAGAATCGTGTTAGGATCACATGGGGATCACGTGAGAGCAGCAGGAGGCTGTATGACAGAACTTGGGTTGAGAAGATTGATGAATGAATGCAGCTTGATGCTCGTTGGTGCACCAAGAATGGATCAGAGAGGATGGAAGGAAATTAAGAGGCAAGGCAATCCCCAATATGAGGTTGCTGTTGGAATTGCGGGTGACTTCATCGATCAAATGGAATTTCAACCAATGACTGGAAATCTCTGGTGAGGTTGGGATGTCAATTGTACCACCCAACTCCACCCACGCGACTCCTTGAATACACCACGCTGTTTGCCTCACTACCCCCCCATCACACCTCACCTCTTCCCTCACCTCGCTCAGCCCGTCACCTCACCCTTCCCCCCGCCTCGCCCCTGGCCCCGCATTGCCCCTGGCCTGACCTCACAGGCGGGCGGCAGGTCGCGGATGGCAATGTTGGTGACGAGCGGGCGAGCCATGGCCTGCAGCATTCCATCCAGCCGCCTGGTGGGGAGGACGGGGGTTGGGGATGGAGGATGGGGATGGGGATGGTGAGTGGGGATGGGGTTTAGGGATGGGTGTGGGAGTGGATACGGATATGGGACACGTGTGCATAGTGAGGGAGGGTGATAGGAGGAAGGGATGAGAAGGGGGGCGGGAAGATGGGGTGGAAGAAGGTGGCAGCGTGAGAGTGCATTTGCTAATGGCAAATGACTGCCCTGCTGCAGCTAGATGAACGAAACAGGTTGAGAAGATGAGAACGTGAGAGAGAGGTGAGAAGGTGGGAACCGGGTGGCACCTGGATTGCGGGTGACCTGTGAAGAGCCGCGGGTGGCAGCAGCAAGCCACTTGAGGAAGAAAGGATTCACCGATGGGCCTGATATGGGCATGGCATGGGGGAACGGGAAGGGAGCAATAGGATGAGGGGAGTGACGATGGGTGGAGGGTGGAGGTAACAGATTGGGGGGCATTGGATGAGTGGGATGGGACAAGTTGGCTGGGAAGTCGGATGAGTGAAAGTGGGATGGGGGGAATAGGATGTAGGGGCATCGGATGGGGGAAACGAGACGGACTCGTGTGGGCATTAGCAACGAAGCTGGTATTTATTCGCTTCGTTCTTCTTTACTCACCAAGAATGAATAACAAGGCCTTGCCTCGGCTAGATCACTGGGCCGAGGCAAGCAAGGGTAATTTCTCATCGAGAAAACGAGTACTTGTTTCGTATTCACAACATTTGTACTCGTCGCAACACTTGACCCCCACGCGACTCACAGAGGATAGGTTTTGGGTGTCAGTTTCAGCCAAAACTCAAACGCAAATGCACAAAGCTCGGTTTGGAATAGGAAAGAAAGAGCAGTGAGAAATCTGTCGCAAGACATTTGGTGTCATTGGTGGAAAAGCGGATAAGTTGCAAGGATGGTGAATGAACGTAAAGCTTCTTGTGAAGAATGTAAATTGAATGATTAGCTTCATTAGGAAACAAGGGGGCATACATAGGATGCAAAAGAAGCTTGGAAGGGAAGGGGAGGGAGGTGTTGCTTGGGGGAGTAGGCCAACCTATGGCCCATTGGGGTAGGATGGCCACACTTGGAGAGTGGGCCAACCTATGGCCCATTGGGGTAAGTTGGCAACACTTGGGGAAGTGTTGTCAACCAACGGCCCATTGGGTTGGGTTGGCAACATTCCCAAAGTGTTGCCAACTTTAGGGACCAATGGGTGCATTTGGGGGCTCCACCACAATTGGGTTGGATTGGCACCCCAAAGTGCAAGACTACACCCAAAGTTGGGTGTTGTCCCAACCCAACTGTACACCACACGTGGTGTACAGTCACAAGTACTTAGCATGCTATATATATATTTCTAACACAACCCCTTAGCATGCGAAGACAAGAAGGGGACAACCCCTGAATCAAGGGGCGCCCGGGCGAGCAAGGCCGATGAGGCGGAGGAGAGCAGAGTGCGCAGGGCGAAGGAGGGCCTTGGTGAAGATGTCGGCCAAGTTGGCCTCGGCAGCAATCTTGCGTACAGCAAGAAGGCCGCGCTGGACGAGCTCGCGGATGAAGAAATAGCGCAGTTCGATGTGCTTGGAGCGGGCGTGGTAAACAGGGTCCTGAGTGAGGTGGATGGTGCTGGCATTGTCACACCAGAGGGTGGGGCAGGGCTGAGGGGCGCCAAGCTCAGCAAGAAGAAAGCAGAGCCAGCGGGATTCCTGAGCGGCCATGGTGCCAGCGTAGAGCTCGGCCTCGCAGGTGGAGAGGGAAACGGAAGAGGAGCGCGTGGAGCGCCAGCTGACAAGGCCGCTGCCGAGGGTGAAGCCGTAGCCCTGAGAGGAGCGGCGGTCCGGCTGTGTGTCGGCCCAAGAGGAGTCGCTGAAGCCCGAAAGCAGGGGTGGGGAGGGGCCACCAAGAGTGAGAGCGTGGTCCTTGGTGCCGCGAAGGTAGCGGAGGACCCTCTTAGCAGCTTTCCAGTGCACCTCCGTGTGGCGACCAGTGCCAACAAAGCGAGCGAGCACGCTAATGGGGTAGGCGAGGTCGGGGCGGGTGCACATCATAGCGTACATCAGCGACCCAACGAGCTCAGCATAGGGGCGAGTGGAGGAGGAGGGAGAGGCGGGTGGGGCAAGCTGGTGGCCAAAAGGGAGGGGGGTGGCTATGGGACTGGCCTGCGCCATCTCGAACTTCTCCAAGACCTGGCCGATGTAATGGGACTGGGAGAGGGTGATGGTGCGAGCAGGACGGTCGCGAGTGATGGCCATGCCCAGGTAGTGCGTGAGGTCGCCCAGGTCCTTGCACTTGAGGCGCTGCTGCAGCTGCTGCTTCAACTGCTCCATGTCAGCCTTGGAGTCAGCGAGCAGGATCATGTCATCAACATACACCAGAATGAAGAAGCGGCGAGGTGAGGAGCGAAGGAAGAGACTGGCGTCAGAATGGGAGGCAGAGAAGCCGAGGGACCCCAGGGTGGCAGACAGCTTCGCGTGCCACTCCCTTGGCGACTGCTTCAACCCGTAGACAGGTCGACGCAGCTGCCACACAGTGTTCTCTGGAAAGGCGGCGTGGAACCCAGGGGGCCGCCGGAGGAAGATGCGCTCGTGCAGGTCCCCTTGCAGGAACGCGTTGGAGACGTCCATGGAGCAGATCTCCATGTTGTCGCGCGCACCAACGTCGAGGAGGGTGCGGAGGGTGGGCGGCTTGGCGGTGGGGGCGTAGGTGAACCAGTAATCCTCAGCCCAAGTCTGGGTGAAACCCTTAGCGCAGTAACGGGCCTTGTAGACCGGATCCTCGCCCGGCAGCTGCTTCACTCGAAAGACCCACTTGCCCTCGACAAGGTTGGCGTCGGCCGGGAGGGGGACATCAACGAAGGAGTCGTTGCGAATGAATGCCTCACACTCCAGGAAGATCGCCGCTATCCACTTGTCCGCATCAGGGCAGGTGATGGCCTCTTGAAAGGTGGAGGGAGTGAAAATGGTGGGGGTGGAGGTGGCGCCAAGGACGGGAAGGCCAAGGAAGTCAATGAAGATGGAGGCAAGGAAAGGAGTGTGGTGCCGAATGTTGAGGAACTCCTCATGGGAGTCCTCAAGGAGCTGGATGGAGGCGGGAGGAGGGGCTCCAATGAGTCTGTCCAGGGAGCGGGTGTGCATGCGAGGGAGGAGGAAAGGGGAGGAGCGGGAAGTTGCGCGGTGCTGCTGCCGCTGCTGCTGCTGCTGCTGCTGCTGCTGCTGCCCCTGCTGCTGCTGCTGCTGCCCCTGCTGCTGACCCGGCTGCTGCTGCTGCTGCTGACCCGGCTGCTGTTGCTGCTGCTGCTGCTGCTGCTGCTGCTGCTGCTGCTGCTGCTGCTGCTGGTGCTGCTGTTGCTGCTGCTGCTGCTGCTGCTGCCCCTGGTGCTGATCCGACTGCGGCTGCTGCTGCCGCTGCTGTCCGTGCTGCTGAACCGGCTGCTGCTGCCGGCCCGGCTGCTGCAGAGAAGGGGGAGAGTGAGAGGAGGAGGGAGAGGGGGGAGAGGGCGCAGCTGAGTGGGCCGGGGAGGCGGGTGTGGCGGGGTCGTAGACGTCGGCAGAGGAGGACGGAGGGAGTGGAGCGGCTACAGGGGGGAGGAGAGGAGCGGGAGGGAGGAGAGGAGGGAGGACAGTGTCGGTCCAGGCGAGGGGGCGAGAGGGAGGAGGGAGAGGGTCGGGAGGAGTGGAGTAGTAGGGAATGGACTCGTCGAAGACGACGTCAATGCTGCGGATGAGGCGGTTGGTGGGAGGGTGGAGGAACAGGTAGCCTGGGGAGTCGCGATTGTGCCCGAGGTAGACGCACTCCAGGGCACGAGGGGCGAGTTTGCCTGCGGCACGGGAGCGATCGGCCGGTGGGATGAGGACGAAGGACTTGCAGCCCCAAACGCGAAGGCCGGCAGCGTCAGGCTTGGCCTTAGACCAGAGTTCTGTGGGGGAGGAGGAGGGATGCTGAGGGTGGGAGCGGAGATTGAGAAGGAGGGCGGCATGGAGGAGGGCGTAGCTCCAAAGGGAAGGAGGGGTGGAGGCGTGAGCAATGAGGCAACGGGCAATTTTGGTTATTTCACGAATGCGACTCTCAGCAATGCCATTTTGCTGAGGGGAGTGGGGGAGGGTGGAGGTTTGCTGAATGCCATGAGTTTTGCAGAAGGTGGCGAGGGTGTTGTTGATGAACTCACCCCCACCGTCAGAGTGAAGGCGGCCAATGGGGCGTTTGAAGTGAGTGCGGCATTGCTCAGCCCAGTTGATGACCACAGCCGGCACCTGGTCTTTGGTGTGAAGGAAAAAGACAGTGGAGTACCGACTGTGGTCGTCGACGAGGACGAGCATGTACCGGTGCCCCTGACGGGAGCGGATGGGATAGGGACCCCAGAGATCCATGTGGACAAGGTCAATGGGAGCGGCAGCAAAGGTGGGATGGCTGTGATGAGGGGACTGTTTGAGCTTGCCATGAATGCATGATGGGCATGGGGGAGCAGGGGAGGAGGGGAGGGGAGGTAAGGTGGGAGGGAGGCTGTGGAGGAGGCGAGAGGTGACAGTGGTGCGAAGTGCGGCGAAGTTGGGATGGCCGAGTCTGTGATGCAAAATGACTGCTGGGTGGGAGAGGGCAGTAGAGGAGGAGGGGGATTGGGTGGGAGAAGAGGTGGGGAGGGAGGAGGTGGGGGGTGAAGTGGGGGAGGAGGATACCTGAGGGGGAGGGAGAGGGGGAGGAGGACCGGTGGAAGTACCAGCACGAGTGGTAACATGACAGAAAGAGGGACGAGGTGTGCGGAGCGTGTAAAGGCGAGTGCGAGGGCAGAGGGGAATGCGCAGAAGGAAGCGACCAGAGGCTGTGTGGTAGAGATCACAGTAAGTAGCAAAACCAGGGTAAAGGGCGGTAATACCGACACCTTGGAGCTCTCGGTGAGAGAGGAGGTTGTTGCGAAGAGTAGGGATGTGGAGACCTGTGACCCTACCGGAGGGGAAAGCGGTGCAAGGGAGGGTGGAGAGGTGAGTGCATGGGATGGAGAAGCTGGAGTCAGCACCATGAACCTGGGTGGGAAGTGGAAGGGGGGTGAGGGTGCCAGCGTCTTTGAGTGCAGTTTCTGTGGCCCCACTGTCAAGGACAAAGTCCAAGGTGGGGGAGGAAGGAGGGGGAGGTGACACGGGGTACTGGAAAGACGTCTCATTGATAACAGAGGGATACATGGAAGCGACGGATGGTGCAACAGCAACATGACCAAGGAAACTGCCCTGGGAGTCAGGGACACTAGGGGGGGCAGAGGGGATGGAACCCCAGGGGGGGGGAGCAAGGGAGGCATGAGCGGCCATGGCCGCTGTGCCGAAGGTCATCGGCTGCTGCTGCCACTGCGGCTGAAGGTACTGCGGCGGCTGCTGCTGCTGGAAGAACTGCTGCTGCGGTGGCTGCTGCGGCAGGCGAAACTGCGGCTGCTGCGGCTGCAGCGGCTGGAGAAACTGCGGCTGCTGCTACTGCGGGAAGTACTGCTGCTGCTGCTGCTGGTGCTGCTGAAACTGCTGCAGCTGGGATGGGGGGGAGGGGTGAGCAGGCGGAGGTGGGCGGGGAGGAAGGAGGGGAGGGTCTGAATGTCGAAGAGGGAGGGGCGAGGGGTAACACTGTTCCAGCGAGGAGGGGTACCAGTGTTGCCGCGGTCGAACCAGGCGTCATCAAGCGCCTTGAAGCATGTGGCAGGGGGGTGGTTGGTCTGACCACACGGCGTGCCGGCGTGGGGACCATGACGGCGAACGTACGTGCAGGGGGGGAGGGTCCCAGGGCGACCACCACGGCTCACAGCTCCACCGGCACCAGAGGAACCTCCAGGGCCACCACCTCCACCACCACCACGGCCACTACGGCCACCACCGCCACCACCCCGACCACCACCACCACCTCCGCCCCCTCCACGACCCCCTCCGCCGCCGTTGCGACCACCCTGGTTGCGCGGCTGCGTGGCATTGAGGGAGGTGGAGGAGGAAGGAGTGGTGGTGAGGTTGACAATGGGGGTGCGGAGCTTGACCTCCGTGTCAATGATCCACTGAGTCACCTCGGTGAGGCCAGCCAAGGAGTTTGCTTCGGTGAAGGCGTCCAGGCGGGACTCGTAGTCCGGCGTGAGGTTGAAGAGCAGACGATGAATCTGCAGGGGCTCGGAAAGGGCAGCCTTGCGAGCGGCAAGGCGATCGGCTACCTCCTGCATGCGCCCCACGTAGTCGACTGCGCCGTCGCAGGTGGCGAGGGAAATGGAGAAGTACTCCTGGAAGAGAACGCCGACGGAGCTGATGTCGCGGCGCTCGAACATAGACTGAAGCTCGGTCCAAATCAGGTGAGCTCGCATCTCACGAGCTTGGAAGCGGCACATGAGGGCGTCGGGGAGTGCACCGAGGAGGATGGTGCAGGCGCGGTTGTCGGCAGCGGCCCAAGCGATGCTGTTGGGGATGTAGGTCGCCATGGAGGTGGTATAATCCGCAATCAGCTCCAGGCGAGTGGCACGCTCCGATGATGCAAATTCGTGGTTGAGCACATCAACGTCATGGTCGGCTTTGCGGATAAGGTATTCGCGGCGGTTGTGGAGGAAAGTGGCGTCCGCAGCAGCCTGAAGCTCGGGGGTAGCGGCCACGTCGAGGGTAGGCTCACGAGGAGGGGGGCCAGGAAGGGGAGGGAGAGGAGGAGGTTCGCCAGGGTGATTGGGTGCGGTCGGCTGGAGAGCCTGAGGACGGCGGAGGAGAACGTCAAGGACGCAGTAGGGTCCGACGAAGGCGTCCTGAAGGACGCGGCGGATGCTGCCGACGAACGAGTGCCAGTTGATGGCGGAGCGATCTGCAGCAAGCTGCAGCTTGTCGACCGAGGAGGCGTCGATGGGAGGGGGGAGAGGAGCAGGAGGGGTGGTAGCCATGGTGGGCGGCGGCAGGTGGACCCGCGGCGGCCAAGGGGGAGACGACGGCGGGTGGACCCGCGGCGGTCAAGGGGGAGGCGACGGCGGGTGGACCCGCGGCTGCCAGGGGGAGGGGGGGGGAGAGGGGGGGGCGTACATAGGATGCAAAAGAAGCTTGGAAGGGAAGGGGAGGGAGGTGTTGCTTGGGGGAGTAGGCCAACCTATGGCCCATTGGGGTAGGATGGCCACACTTGGAGAGTGGGCCAACCTATGGCTCATTGGGGTAAGTTGGCAACACTTGGGGAAGTGTTGTCAACCAACGGCCCATTGGGTTGGGTTGGCAACATTCCCAAAGTGTTGCCAACTTTAGGGACCAATGGGTGCATTTGGGGGCTCCACCACAATTGGGTTGGATTGGCACCCCAAAGTGCAAGACTACACCCAAAGTTGGGTGTTGTCCCAACCCAACTGTACACCACACGTGGTGTACAGTCACAAGTACTTAGCATGCTATATATATATTTCTAACACTTCTAGCTCCTTAGCCTCGCGCTACCTACTCCAAGTAGAGAGTAAAACCGATTTGATACCCATACCGATGCCGAAGGTGAAGATGCGAGGGGCGGTGCCCCCCCAGTCAGCCAGGGCGCGCTGCACCCAGTGGCACACTCGGCGCTCCGCCCGCACAGGGCCGTCCGTGATGAGCACGATCTGCTGCAGCGCTGCCGTGTGGCCCCTCAGCATCCTGAACGCCTGGCGGTGTGGTGGGGGCACACATGCACATGGGTGGGGGATGGGGTGGGGGAATGGTTGCTGAATGAGCGGCACTTCATCATTCTGAATGTTGGGATGGGCGGTGATGCTATGCCATGCAGGGCGAATCATGAGAGCTAGAAGTAGCTTTTGCTCATCCTCGCATCATTTCACCACTCTCCACCCACCAGCTGCAGCGGCGTGAGAACGTTGGTCGGCTGTGCCAAGTCGTGTGCCTGCAGCACGAACTTGCACGCGCGCCGCACCGCCTCAGGCGAGGCAGCCTGGAGCTCGTCATCCATCCGCCCTTAACCTCACACAATTTCACTTGCACCGCTCCCAACCCACTCGCACCGCTCTCCACCCACCCACCAGCTGCAATGGCGTGAGCGCATTAGTCGGCTGCGGCCAGTCATGTGCCTGCAGCACGAACTTGCACGCGCGGCGTACAGCCTCAGGCGAGGCGGCCTCGAGCTCGTCGTCCAGCAGCAGCAGCTCGAAGTCAAACGCCACCACTGCGAACGAGTCGTGGGGCTTTAAGCGCCTCAGTGCCGCTGCCACCGCCCTGCGTGCGTCTTCCATGGGGCGGGCTCTTAGGCCGCACTCGCTGTCAAGGATGAACACGACGGCTCGGCTGAAGACCTGTCAAAGGGTGGAGAGGGATGGAGAGGGGTGGAGGGGAATGGAAGGGCCAGCCGGGAAAGGGATGGTTGCAGTGGAAAGAGGCGAGGCGGCCTCGAGCTCATCATCCAGCAGCAGCAGCTCGAAGTCAAACGCCACCACGGGGAACGAGTCGTGCGGCTTTAAGCGTTTTAGTGCTCCCGCTACTGCCCTGCGCGCGTCTTCCATTGGCCGACCCCTCAGCCCGCACTCACTGTCGAGAATGAACACCACTTCCCGGCTGAAGACCTGTCGAGGGGTGGAGAGGGATGGAGAGGCGTGGAGGGGGATGGAGGGGCGACCGAGGAAGGGAGGGTTGCAGTGGAAAGAGGCGAGGCGGCCTCGAGCTCGTCATCCAGCAGCAGCAGCTCGAAGTCAAACGACACCACTGCGAACGAGTCGTGGGGCTTTAAGCGCCTCAGTGCCGCTGCCACCGCCCTGCGTGCGTCTTCCATGGGGCGGCCCCTCAGCCCTGTCTCGCTGTCAAGGACGAACACGACGGCTCGGCTGAACACCTGTCGAGGGGTGGAGAGTGGTGGAGGGACGATCGGGGAAGGGATGGTTGCACTGGAAAGTATTGATACTGCCCCAGGCGCATCATCCAGCAGCAGCAGCTTCAGGCGCCTCAGTGCACCGCAAGCGCCCTGCGTGCATCCTCCACGAGACGAGACGACCTCTCAGGCCTGTATTGCGCTCCGGGACGGATGAACGCCACTGCTCAGCTGAAGACCTGGCGGGAGAGAGGGTTGTGAAAAAAGGTGCCCAGAAAGAGACGAACGCATTGGAGGGCGGCATGTGAAGAAGCAGGTTGAGGTGAGAACATGGTTGTGGAAATAGAAGCAGTTGGCGGGGTGTAGAGAGTAAGAGGAGAACCGAGGGCGATAGGAGGGGCAGATGGCATGGCAGGGGAGACTCGGATTTGGAGCAGAGTTGCGGTTTGGAAGGAGAGGAGTGTGAAGCAAGGGATGCAGTGTGGACAGCGGCAGAGGTGCAAGGGGAGAGATGAGGAAGAATCTGCGAGAAGCGGAAATCTAGAGAAGGAGGTGGAGGCACAAGGCGAGATACTGAGACGATATGATAAAGATGGCATACTGAGAATTGGGAGGGATCGGGCGGAGCCATTGAAAGGGCGAAGGCGGCACGGGGATCGGGGTCTCCGATGAGAGGCGCTTGCACGAGCACTGCTGCACTCACGTCCTCTGTTACCACCTGGTGGCACATGGGGTGTCATGCCATGCCAGCACATGATGTCATGATGACATGCCATTAAGCAATCGTGACCACCTCATGTCATCATCACCATGTAATGCAAGCAAGCCATGATGCGAATCATGGTTTATGACAAGATGCCACCAACCAACCAAGCCATCATGCCACCATGCGATCGTTATATATCATGCCATCACACTGCACAGAAACACATTTCTTGTTTCTAAAACACCAACACACTACATCACGTCACTCCTGTAAAAGCGACATACTCTAAAACCATAAGAAACAAGTCTATAAAGATCCTCGTCCCCGCTCCATGCCACGACAATGACAGCAAGATGCACGGCAAAGCAATGCAAAGCAGACACCCATGGGGAAAGACATTCTTTACTATGGAATGTTTAGTTGAGCCGACCTGGAAGGAGATGGTGAAGTCGGCGTTGGGCCATGCCTCGGGGTCCTCATCGATTGGATGGCCCACAAACGTGGCTCGCCCCAAGTCCACAAACACCACCTGCGTGGCATGAGCATGTGGGGCGAGAGGCGAGGGGAAAGGAGGGGGTGGATGGGGCGTGTGTAAGCAAGTGAGGCAAACTCAATTCATTAGGACATGGAGCTCACGGCTCTATTTGTCCACCACACTGAGATGAGAATGATGGGAGGGGAATCAAAAGGCAATATCCAATGAGATCCGCTGAAATCTCCGATTGGTAAGATGGAGTCTTCAATTCATCGCATTTGGATAAGGCTGGAATATTGGTGCAACACCAAACCCACGAAAAATATAACTATATTAGGCTGGAATATGGGGTGGGCACAGAGAAGCGATGAGGGGGGGAAGGTGAGTGCAAGCGGACAGACAGGGCAAGGGGTGGGAGAAGGAACAGGGGGATGCAGAAGGGGAAGGGGGTAAGCCATGGCACAAGGGATGAGGAAGTTGTTGACATGACACCCTCAGACTGTCTTCACTCCTGCTTCCTACTCGCTCATGAGCCGGTCCATTCCATTTGCTTTGCCAACTCGTTAGGAGAGCGTGGTCCGGTCCGGGGCACATCCGATCCGAGGCGCATTTAATTGAGAAAGTGGAGAGAAAATTGAAAATATGTTTAACCCCTACCGGAAGGGGAATCAGGCGCGACAACCCTGGGGTCGGTCTCAACACGGGCCAACAGACTCGTGATAAGTGGGCGACTTGGAAGAGTCAGACCCGAGTCGTCCCAACATGGGTCGAGCCAGGCGATGCATCGACTGAGTCCACTCGACCCGTGACGAGTTAGATAGTGAATCAAACTAGACTCTTGTCGACTGGAGTGAAAGCTTGACTCGCTACTCATGTCTGGTATCCGCTAACTCCTCACCTCAGCAGCTGGCAGTGTGTGCAAGTGTCCAAGAGTCGCCGACATGACATGGATCATCACCTTCACCCTGGGGTGGTCGAAACTTGAAGTTCCCTATCTTCATGGGCGCTGCACTGCAGCCCGCTGTGGATGGTATGGTGCAGCTCACACGCACCACGTCCTGCACTGCCAGGTCGTCTGGTAAGCACTGGCCATGAATGATTGCCCTCACACCCCCTGCCGTGCCCCACTCACCTTCATGGGGTGATTAAAGTCCCCTATCTTCATGGGGCACTGCAGACCACTGTTAATGGTGCAGCTCACTCGCACCACGTCCTGCACTGTCAGGTCGTCAGGCACGCACTAGCCATCAATAATCCTCCTCACTCACACTCACACCCACACCCCACTGACCTTCATGGGGTGGTTGAAGTCGCCTATCTTCATGGGGCACTGCAGCCCGCTGTTAATGGTGCAGCTCACTCGCACCACGTCCTGCACCGCCAGGTCGCCAGGCACGCACCCCAAGGGCACTGTCAGCGGCACGCTCATCTCGCTGTACCCCTGCCGCCCCGCCATCGCCTCCACGTATGTCACCCGCACGCGCACACTGCTGCCCTGGGGTACCTGCCAAGGGTTGGGGAGGGGGACGGACAGAGAGAGGAGGGGCACTCCAAGGGCACTGTCAGCGGCACGCTCATCTCGCTGTACCCCTGCCGCCCCGCCATCGCCTCTGTATGTTGCTCGCACGCGCACACTGCTTCCTTGTGGTACCTGCGGGGAGGAGGAGAGGAGGCGAGGACGGGAGGAGGGATGACTGAGAGAACTCATACCCTTGTACCCCTGAGGTTGAGCCCCGCCATTGCCTCCACGCACGTCCCCCGCACGCACACACTTCTGCCCCGGGGTACCTGCGGGGGGTTGAGGGCGGCATTTTCTTTTGGGAATTCTCGATAATCGTTGTGCCCGTGGGTGCTGGTCTGGGGTGCCTGTGTGGGGGAGGGGGTGAAGATGGAGGGATGATTGAGAAATCCTAACAAGCTGCTGTAACCCTGCCGCCCTGCCATTGCTTCCGCGCACGTTGCCCGCACACACTGAACCAAGTCCTAATTCGCGTCTATATCTGAGCCCCTCGCGTCAGTCGGACTCAACTCAAGAGGAATCAACTGTATTCGCTGGTCGCACTGACTTGAGGGGTCAGGAGAATGAAGGTAGACTCGTTTGCTTGCCCATGTCTAGTTTTGTGTGCACCTTGGGTATTCTGAGCCTGAGCATGTGCGGTGTGTGCACGGGGCTCTCATCCAAAAGCACAGCTGCATGCCGCCTCGCCACACACCGACGCCGCTGCCCTCCACTCCCCTCCACCTCCTCCTCCTCCTCATCCTCGTCATCCCCTCCCCTTCTCCACTCACTCTCACCACCACCTTCACCACGTTCAACCCCACCCTCCCCCCTCTCCACACCCCCACTCACACCGCCTTCCTTCCCACTGCTCTCTCCCCACTCGCCCGTTCTTGCTTCAGCCCTCCCATCCCCATCCCCCACTCCCTCTTGGCTTTTCCACCGATGCCGGCTGCTGCCGCTCCTGCTAAAGCTAGCAGACGAAAGGCGCAGGAACGAGGAGCGGGCCGGCCTGGGCGGCACGGGCTGGGCGGCGGAGTGGGCGGCTGCCGCCCGTTCTTGGCTCGCCCTGCACGCTGCCTCTGCCTCGTCCGCTGGGAGCACTGCAGTTGCGAGGAACCTTCCATCTGCTAACGTCACCTCCACTGCTGTCACATGGCTCTGAGGTTTTGAAGGGGGGATGAGGGATGGATGGGGCCAAAAGGGGAAAGGATGGGCATGGGGGCAATGGGAGAATGGGCATCGGGAAACCGGAGAGTGGACATGGGGCTAGAAGTGGTAAGGGAAGAGGAAATGAGGCTTGAATAATTGGCTTGTAACGGGAGTCGTGTGGGAATGAAGGAAGGGAGATGGAAGGGGATGGCGGTGGGGTGAAGGGATGAAGGCAGTGGTGGGAAGGAGAGAGAGCAGGAGCAAGGGAGGTAGGTAATCTGTCCATACTGAGGGTTCAGTGCGTGGAGGAACGATGAGTGCTTGGCAACACACCCTCTCACTCACGCCCCTACCCTCTCACTCACTCGCTACCCTCTCACTCATGCTCAGCAACAAACACTCTCGCCACGTTCCTACCCTGTGAGACGTGGGCAGCACAAAAAGGCAGTCGCAGCACTGCTGTTGCTCCTCCCCTTCAACCCCACCATCCCCTCCGCCACCTCCTCCCCCTTCCCCTCTGCCTTCCCCTCCGCCTCCCCCTCCTCCCCCTTGCCCGCGCCCCCGCGCATACTCCCCAACTTCCCACGTGCCCTGTATGCTGACACTTGCTGTCGTCATCAGGCACTCCACAGTGAGCGACAGTGACGTCATCATGGCGGGCACTAACCGCGGAGCCGCAGCTCCTCCCCCCGCGTCCGCTGCTCTTCCCCCCTCCCCCCCGCCTTCCGCACCCGCCCCTACGTCCCACGATTTCGTCCGCGCGTGCGCTCCCTTCCGCCCATGCGCCGCCCCGTCAACCGCAGCGGCGCCGCGCGAGTTGCGCGCGCTGCTTGCCGGAGAGGAGTCGCGCGCATGGGCGGAGGGAAGCGGGGGAAGCGGGTCGGAGGCGGGGGGAAGCACGGCGTAAAGCATGGGGCACGGCGGAACTGCGGAGAAGAGCGGGTCGTCGCGCGCAGTGGCGCGGGCGGATTCGGGACGGGGGAGATCGGAGGCGGAGGCGGAGGGGGGGAAGGCGGGGGAGGCGGAAGAGGTGGAGGCGGAGGAGGGGAAGGCGGAGGATCGCGACGACCGCCCCGCCATTGTCGACTAACCAGCGGCGCGGATTTACTCTTGAGATGGCGGTTAAAATGGCGAGGCGCTAAACGGCGGTTTGGATAAAATGCTGCAGCGCGCAACGGCGCCCTGTGATTGGTCCCGCAAGACGCTTCACAAGACGAAATAAACCAGGCTGAAAGAGCGATTCGTTGACAGGTGATAACCAGGAGTCTAATAAATAAGCTACTCTCATCATCCTTCAAAAATAATTTAGACTACATCCTATTTTTACAAGGATACGTATGTCCCATCCAAAACATAAATATATAATATCTTCACATGTGCATCTTTCAGTCAAATACTTTATGAGCATCTCACAACTAGCAATAGAGAAGCTTAGCCTTGGCATGCAGGCATCTAAGTGGGGTTGACTACTAGTACTTCCGTGGTAGTGAGGGAGTTGATATGCTGACTTGTCCTTCTTTCCGAGGGCCTTCTTCCTCTGCCCCGTCATGTATGTGTACATATATAGGCTCCCTGCCATGCCAGACACACAGTAAGGTACCTTCAATGCATTTGGTTTGAAAGGCGTACATGGTGTGTCAGTTTGTTACTGGATTACGGTATGTGAATAACAATACCGTCATCGCCCGGATAGAAGATAGTGTTGAAATGAAGACATAGTGTCCTTTATACGGGTGATTTCTTATAATAGGAACTTCTGTTTGTAAGATAGCCTGAAGGCTATATGAGATAAGACACCCCCCCCAGGGTGTCTTCTAAACGGAATGCAGAGTTTCCTAGCGGCAATCTTTCAAATGCCTAGCTGCTTCATGTCTACCTAAGACAAAATACCGCATTTAGTGTATTTTTCATGCAGCAGTCACACATTCTGCCTCTGTCGCTCGAGCACGGGATGCAGGGCCATCTTGTGCCGCTCCTGCTACTGTCCATGCATGTGCGGCGGTCTCTTCAGGCTCCACGAGCTTATCTGCTGCTGCTGCTGTTGCTCCTCTGTAATGTGCGGTACCGGGGTAGGGGTCATCAGTGGCTGGACTCCCAGGGCACACAATCCTCTTCAAAGTCCGCCATAAGGTCCTCCTCTGTTACCTCTGTTGGGAAAAGAAAGTTGACGCATGCAATTCAGAAGTTCGTGTCAGAATCACTGTGCAGGAATGAATGAATTATGAATGAGTTGGGTATAAGTACTAACCCTAAAGTGTTGTACCCTTTGTAGGCTAACCCACTATAGCCTAGAGAGAACAAAAACATATAGTTTGACACACCCCCATAGGCTAAGTGGGAGAGAGCAAACACAACAGATGGTCACAAGACCAGTCAAGCAAGAGAACAAGCAAAGCAAAGCTCAGGGTGGATCTCAAGGGCACCACACAACCTGAGCACAAGCAAGCGACCACACGGCCAGTTCACATGCAGAGTTATAATAGCAAGGCAGTACACTGATCACAACCTAGCAAGAGTAAACAAGCAGGTATAAAGATTTATATCAGTGTACAACAAGAGCAAGTCAAGCAACCAGTAGGTGAGGCAGAGTGGGCACAAGCCCAGAGCAGTGCAGAAACGCTGATCAGCAGTGTTGGCCCGCGAGGCTACGTAGGAAAGGCGGAGCTGACGACGCTGCTGCAGCTCACGTGCAAGGAAGTAGCGAAGAGCAATGTGCTTCGTTCAGTGCTCCAGTCTCTGCTCGCGACACAAGGCAAGCATTGCATTGTTGTCGACGTACAGAACTGGAGGAGAACGAGGCCGCTCCCCCAAGTCGGTCAGCAGGTAGGTCAGCCAGCGTAGCTCTTGTGCAGCCATGGCCCCAGCGTAGATCTCGGCCTCACAGCAGGAACCAAGAACAGAAGAAGAAAGAGTGGACCTCCACGAGACAGAACCAGAGCCAAGACTAAAGGTGTAACCCTGTGACGAACGCTGAGTCGCCTGGTCGTCGGCCCAAGAAGCGTCGGAGTGTCCTGTGAGTACCACTGAACCCCATCCTCCAAGCACAAGCCCCATGCCCGATGTACTGCACAAGTAACGCAGTACCTCTTCGCAGCATCCCAGTGCACCTTTCGGTGTCTACCGGGAGCCACGTAGCGAGCCAGGAGGCTGAGAGGGTACGCGAGGTCAGGTCGTGTGCACGTCATCAGGTACATGAGGCAACCCACTCGGCTCTACGGACTCGTCCGAAGGTGGAGCTGAGAGCGAGTGGCCGGTAGATAGAGGAGTGGGCTGTGGCGAGGAGAACTGGAAGCCGAAGCGCTAAAGGACCTGGTGCACCATGTGTGACTGAGTCAGGGTGATGGTGCGCCGTGCTCTGTCCCGGGTGATCTGCAAGCCAAAATAGCTCCGCAGCTCACCTAGGTCAGTGCAGGTGTGTCTCTCCTGCAGCTCCGCCTTCACTAGGGCCAGCGCCACCGTGTCAGCAGTAGCAAAAACCAAGTCGTCGACGTACGCGAGAACGTAGAACGGCGGCAGGGTAGTGTCGGTGCGTAGAAATAGCGACGGGTCAGCAGAGGAAGGAGCAAACCCAAGAGCCGCAAGTGACGTCTTCAGTGTGTCGTGCCAATCGCGGGGCGCCTGGCAGAGACCGTAGACTGGCCGCCGGAGGCTCCACTGGGTACCCGCAGGAAACGACCCAGTGAAGCCAGGTGGGCGGCGCAGCCAGATCTCCTCGTGAAGGCTGCCCTGCAAGAAAGCTGTGGAGAAGTCGAGTGAGTGCAGCTCGTAGTCACGCTGTGCTGCAACGTGCAGCAACACCCGAAGAGTAGTCATCTTCGGGGTGGGGGAGAAGTTATGGACGAAGTCGACCCCTTGTCGCTGACTGAAGCCTCGAGCAACGTAACGCGCCTTGAAGGCAGGCGGAGAACCGGGCGGCCGCTTCACTCTGAAAATCCACATGCCATCGACTATGTTCGTTCCAGGAGGAGGAACATCGTCGACGTAGGTGCCTGTGGACTTCCAGGAAGCCATCTCTGCGTCCATGGCTGTCTGCCACCGAGAGGAGTACTCACCCGCGATCGCCTCAGCATAAGAGTGCGGGGTAGGGATGTCAAGTGCATCCGGGTCTCCCTCAGGGCAAACCAGCATGGATGCGAAACGAGGTAAAGCGGCCGCAAGACACTCAAGCTCAAACTGCCTGTCCTCAAGGACGTCACTGCTAAGGGCAAGCTCACCCCCGACGGACGGAGGACAGACAGACTCAGACTCAGTAACAAGACTCGCGACGTAGTCGAGACGACTCCTAGCTGCAAAGTCTACTAGCTCAGTGACTAGGGAAAATGCAGCAGTAGACTCAAAGTCAGGGTCAGTGACGACAGTAGCGAGGAGACGAGTGACAGTAGGACTGGCAGCACGAGCAAGGTCGGACTCAGGGTCAGGAATGTGCCGAAGAGAGGACGCGGGAGGCTCAGGCAGGACAACACGCTGTGGAACAGAGGAAGGACGAAGTGCCATACTGTGAGTGCCTGGGACAGCAGGAGGACGAGGTCGGGCGACACGATGATCACGAACAGGTGTGGAAGCATGAGTCTCAGGCTCACGACGCTCAGTCAGGGACTCAGTCACCTCAGTGTGAGGAGCACGAGCAGGCAACGGGGAGCCAGGCAGTAGCTGTGGCTGAGACTGGTCTGTCGGTGGACACAGGAGAGGTGGAGTGAGGCCAGTGGAAGACGGGAGACTAAGAATTTGGCGAAGGTCCGAGTCAAGCGGCGGCAGGGACGACTGCGGCAGCGGGTAGAAAAACGGTCGGCGCGGGGCACAGCAGCTCCGGCTCCTCTAGCACCAGCAGCACCAGCACCTCCAGCACTAGCAGCTCCAGTAGCACCTCCAGCACCAGCATCACCACGAGCTCCGGCAGCGCCAGCACCTCTAGCACCATCAGTACCTCCAGCACCTCTAGTGCCAGCAGCTCCAGCAGCACCTCCAGCACCTCCAGCACCAGCAGCACCACCTGCTCCGGCAGCTCCAGCACCTCTAGTACACGCACCTTCAGGACCAGCAGCTCCAGCACCTCCAGCACCTCCAGTACCTCCAGTACCCCCAGCATCACCTCCAGCACCTCCAGCACCAGCAGCACCACCAGCTCCGGCAGCTCCAGCACCTCTAGTACGAGCACCTCAAGGACTAGCAGCTCTAGTACCTCTAGTACCTCCAGCTCCAGCGCCTCCAGCACCGGCAGCACCTCCAGCACCTCCAACACCAGCAGCACCAGCACCTCCAGGACTAGCAGCTCCAGCACCTTCAGCACCAGTAGCACCTCCAGGACTAGTAGCTCCGGCACCTCCAGCACGAGCAGCACCTCCAGCACCGCCAGGACTAGCAGCTCTAGTACCTCCAGCACCAGCAGCACCTCTAGTACCTCCAGCACCAGCAGCACCTCCAGCACCTCCAGCAGTACCTCCAGCACGTCCAGCACTAGCAGTACCTCCAGGACTAGTAGCTCCAGCACCAGCAGGACCGTACCCTCCACCACCAGGACTGCCTCGCCAAACGATCCACACACGAATCGCCTGCGGTGGCTGTCCAGCTCCAGGACCTCCAGCAGGGTCACCCACACCACCGCCACTAGGACTCGCAGCATCCCCAGAGTCAGCACCCCCAGTCGCATCACCCCCAGAACCAGCACCCCCAGTCGCAGCACCCCCAGAACCCTCACCCTCTGTCTCAGCACCCCCAGGCTCAGCACCAGCAGTCTCAGCTCCAGAGTCCACAGTAGCAGGCTGCGGAGGCGGCGAAGACGGCCGAGGCGGAAAACCAGGGGGGGTCTCCAAGCGAGGAGAGCGGCGAGTGGCCGCCGTGTCGTCAGCGGCGGGGCCACCCCCCTCAGCTGGGCCAGAGGAGTCAAAAGAGATCTCCAAAGGCTCGACCAAGGG